CACCTTATTGCAGGCAACAGTGTTGCTTTTTTTCCCCACTAATACCTAACAAGGACTCCCTTTCCTCCAGTTTTCAATAAGATTTGTAAATTTGGCCGGGCGCGGTGGCTCAAGCTTGTAATCCCAGCACTTTGGGAGGCCGAGGCGGGTGGATCACAAGGTCGAGAGATCGAGACCATCCTGGTCAACTTGGTGAAACCCCCGTCTCTACTAAAAATACAAAAAATTAGCTGGGCATGGTGGCATGTGCCTGTAATCCCAGCTACTCAGGAGGCTGAGGCAGGAGAATTGCCTGAACCCAGGAGGCGGAGGTTGCGGTGAGCCGAGATCGCGCCATTGCACTCCAGCCTGGGTAACAAGAGCGAAACTCCGTCTCAAAAAAAAAAAAAAAAAAAAAAAAAAGATTTGTAAATTTTTCTGTAAGCCTGCACTTGCATCTTCCCTCAAAGACCATTAGAAGTTGTCTTTTTTTTTTTTTTTTGAGATGGAATCTTGATCTGTCACCCATGTGGAGTGAAATGGCACAATCTCGGCTCACTGCAACCTCCACCTCCTGGGTGCAAGTGATTCTCCTGCCTCAGCCTTCCAAGTAGCTGGGACTACAGACAACTGTCACCACACCTGGCTAATTTTTGTATTCTTGGTAGAGATGGGGGTTTCACCATGTTGGCCAGGCTGGTCTTGAACTCCTGACCGTGAGTGATCCACCCGCCTTGGCCTCCCAAAGTGCTGGGATTACAGGCATGAGCTACTGCGCCCGGCAGAAGTTGTCTATTTTTTTTTTTAGAAGATTCTTCAAGTTTTCACTAACACCTCAAAGCCTTTCCACCCACTGTCTAGTTCCAAAGTCACATTTTTAGGTTTTTGTTATGGCAGCACTTCTGGGTATCACAATCTGTATAAGTGATCTAAGATTTGTTCTCTTAGCAGTATTGCTGTATAATAAATTACTGGCTGGGCATGGTGGCTCACACCTGTAATCCCAGCACTTCAGGAGGCTAAGGTGGGAGGATCACTTGAGCCCAGGAGTTTGGGACCAGCCTGGGCCACATAGGGAGATCCTCATCTCCATAAAAAATTTAAAAATTAGTCAGGCATGGTGGTGTGCACCTGTAGTCCCGGCTACTTGGGAGGCTGAGGCAGGAAGATCGCTTGAGCCTGGGTGGCTGAGGCTGCAGTGAGCCAGGTTCATGCCACTGCACTCCAGCCTGGGCAAGAGTGAGACTCCATCTTAAAAAAAAATTTTTTTTTACACATACCCCTTCTAGCTACCACCGTCTCTCTTTGCCTGTAATACTTCTAAACCATGACCCCAAATTCTCTGACATTCTTGCCATTAGAGACAGCAACTTTGTCCCCTTTAGCTTGTATCTTAGCAAGTTTGTGATAACTTGCATAAATAGGCAGAAAAAGTCACGCAGCTCCCACCTACCTCTCTTGGACACTCTCTCAGAACCCAGCTGCCATGCTGCAGGCAGCCCCAGCCCCAGAGAGAGGTCATGGGTTAGTGCTCTAGATGACAATCTCAGCTGAGCCCAACCTTCAAGTGATCCCAGCCTAGGTGCCAAACCTTTCAGCAAAGAAACCTGTAGATGACTCCAGTTCCTAGTAGTTCAGGTCACCCTCAGTCATCTGAGTCTGCCCAGCTAAGGCTCCAGATAACAGGGGGAAAAATAAACAAGCCATCCCTGCTGTGACCTGACCCATAGAATCCAGGAACATAATAAAATAGTTTTAGTTTTCTACTGCTAAGTTTGGTTTGGCTTATTACACAGTAAAAGTAACCGGAACATCCCCTTTATAAACCAGTTTCTGAGAGGCATTGTCTGTTCTCGTCGTCTCTGTTTCACCCCCCACTTATTCCTCTAACCTGGATATCTACCCTATCTTTCAAGCTTAATCATGTTCTCCAAAGTCAATGATCTCCAACTTGTTCAATGGAACTGACATTTTCTTTTAGATTTGTTCTCTTAGCAGTATTTAGCATTATTGCCCAATTGTTCCTTTTTTCCTTATTTTTTAGAGTTGAGTTCTCACTCTGTCACCCAGGCTGGAGTGCAGTGATACCATCATGGCTCACTTCAGCCTCAAGCTCTTGGACTCAAGTCCTCCCACCTCAGGCTCCCAAGTAGCTAAGACTACAGACACATAAAACCAAGCCCAGCTAATTTATTTATTTATTATTATTATTATTATTTTAATTTTTTTTCAGATGGAGTTTCGCTCTTGTTACCCAGGCTGGAGTGCAATGGCACGGTCTCGGCTCACCGCAACCTCCGCCTCCTGGGGTCAGGCAATTCTCCTGCCTCAGCCTCCTGAGTAGCTGGGATTACAGGCACGCGCCACCATGCCCAGCTAATGTTTTGTATTTTTAGTAGAGACGGGGTTTCACCATGTTGACCAGGATGGTCTTGATCTCCTGACCTCGTGATCCACCCGCCTCGGCCTCCCAAAGTGCCGGGATTACAGGCTTGAGCCACCGCGCCTGGCCCCAGCTAATTTATTTTAATTTTTTGTAGAGATCAGGTCTTGCTCTGCTGCCCAGGCTGGTCTGGAACTCCTGGCCTCAAGCCAACCTCCTGCCTCAGCCTCCCAAAGTGCTGGGATTACAGGAATGAGCCACTGTGTCCAGCCTCTTCTCTTAGTTTTTATGTCACCACCTTATCCCAGGTTTCTTCCTTCCTGTCCAGTCCTCTCACACTCTTCAAATTTCACCTTCCTCTAACCTCCCACTAGATGAGGAAGTAGCTCAATGTTTGGTCCTAAGCCATTTTTTCTTCTCATTTTATATTCTCTCTCTATCTATATCCATGGTTTTAATTCCCATCCCACCTATGTGACTTTGATGACAAAGTTTCTTTTTTCTTTTCTTTTTTTTTTTTTTTGAGACAGAGTGTCACTCTGTCGCCCAGGCTGGAGTGCAGTAGGGTAATCTCAGCTTTCTGCAACCTCTACCTCCTGGGTTCAAGTAGGAGAATTTTTTTTTTTTAATTTAAAATTTAAAAAAATTCTGGCCTTCTTCTAGTCTTTTCTCTCTCAGTGAACAGAACCACCATCTGTCCAGTTCCAAAATGCTGGGAGTTATCGTTGACTCTTCCTTCTCCCTCATTCCCCAGAATCAACCTATCATCTCTGATATTTATCTCTCCACCTCACTTGATCTCCCCACTTCTACCTACCTCCTCTACCTCCACTCTAGCTCAAGATTCCACCGTCTCTTAGCTGGGCCACTGTGATCTACTCTTGCTTCCCTCTCACTTATCCTCCACGGTCATCTTTTCAAAATGCTTAGTTCATCATAGCACACACACCCCAGGCAGCTTAAAACACATTAATGGCTCCCAAAGTTCATAACCTGGCCTCATAAGGCCCTGATGGCCTGACCCCTGCCTCCCTCTCCCACCTTATCTCTTATCTCTCTCCCTTAGGCTGCACTCCAGCCTCAACCGCCTTTTATGCTATGTTCTGGTCTACCAAGCACCGCTACACATTTTGCTCCGTCTATATGAAATGCTCCTGACTGCTCATACTCTTGCCTATTAATTCCTACTCCAGATTTCCAGTCAAGATAACTTCCTCAAGGAAGCCCTCCCTACACAAACCCCCTCCCTTATGAAACAGGTCCCCACTTCATCAATATTCTCATTGCATGACACACCTTTCCTTCAGACTTACCCAATTTTCAAAGTATACATTTATTTGATTACCATCTGTCTCCCCCACTAGACTGCAAATCCCATAAAAGCAGGGCCTTGGTGAATTTTTTGCTCACCACTGCATTCCAAGAGCCTAGAGCAAAAACTTTACCCTTAGCAGGCACTGTTAAAATTGGAATGGATTATCTCCCTCAAGATTTGAGCTGAAGAGGTGGAAACAGGGATGGGGATAGGGTGGGGTGGGAGGCAGAATTTAACAGAATAGCACTGGTTAATGGTGGAGCCCCAGCGTAGAGAAACCTGAGCTCCCAAAGCTAGGGGAATGAAGGTGAGGGACAAAACTCTCATTACCTCTTCTTCGCAACAAAGAGTTTATCACCAACCTGATGTGCTCTCTTGAGGAATAGGTTTGTGGAACTCTTTGTATGTTTTAATTAACTAAGGCTAAAAACCTTTGACTATAACCATGTCCAGGTCTTTCTGGGGGAATTTTCAATGGGGAACTAACAGAGTAATCTGAGTACATCCAACACACCTGACACCTAATGGTTTTCAAATATGTTTCTACTTAACCTGTTCAGAATTTCAGGAATTGCTGAACTAAATAGCAAAGCACCTCTGCAGTGAAACAGAAGTGACATTAAGAAACAACTGTGACTATCTTGTATCCTCAAAATGCATAGCTAATTATTCTTGAAATCAAAGTTACAAACTGTCTAATATGACTGATTATGAACAGGAGAGGAATCCATTAAAAGCTAAACACAGGTTTTGCTAATTTGAATCTTTTCCCTCCAGTTTTACTATAACACAGTACTTTTCAGTACCTGACGCCAACATAAGAAACGAGAAAACTAGTTTATAGAGGTAATGCTTCTATTGTAACAATGAAAATCCATTAATTTACTATTTTAGCAAATGTATAACCTGGTATCTGTACTCTAAATATTAGAGACGTATATTTGTTAGAGGGAGGCTTTGTGTACAATGCTTTTATTGGAAAAGACAAAACTTGCTGTTCCTAATTTTATAATTTTCTCTGGACTTAGCTAAGAATTATGTTCTCTTAGCCTCTCTGGGTTTTCCTCTTCAAATGAAATGCTTCTGACCTGTAGAGGTTTAGAAAAGGTTATCCTCAACTAAAATAACTGCTTCAATACAAGGGAAAATTTTGTGGAACTCTCTTGCATTTGACGTTGCTAAACTTAAGTACAATAATGTCACATGTACTTATACAGTAATTGTGGGCACGCCTAAGTCCCTCCCTCTTTCCTAAATTCCCCAGATCCTAGAAATCCAGCCCTTCTGCCCTCCGGAGGCGCCTTTCCCAACGTAAAGTACAATTTTAAATTTCAGCTCCTGACTAAAATCATGATCCGCAGTCAACTGCTAGAGAATCTGGGCACCTCGGTGCCTCTGGAGCGTGCAGCGGGTGTGGGCAAGGCAGGGGGAGTGGGCGAAGCTGCTGGTTGGTGCCTGAAATCTGTGCGTTGCCCCTTTAATTGTGTCCCCAGCCCTCGGGCGTTTCTGTCCAACGCCCACGTCAGCAAATACCTTTTGTTTCTCTCACGTTGGGGCTACTTGTTTTAGGGCGCAAAGGAACGGCCTCGAAAGGGGGTCCTTCCCCGGCCGAGAACCAGGAATCTTCCCCCGGCCCGCGCGCGCGACCGGCCGGTGCGCCTCGGCCCGCGGTAAGTGGCAGCGCGCGGCGCGGGCGGAGGGCGGGCGGGCGTCGGGGCTGCCCGGGACCCGCCGCGAGCCTGGCCGCGGGCGGAGGCGCCGTGGGCTCTGACGGCCCGGGCAGCGGCGGTGCTGGGATGCGGGCCCCGGGCGCGCCGCCCCCAGACGTCCCCGAGCCGGGAGCGCGGCGGGAGGCGCCGAGGCGAGCGGGCGCCATTTGCAGCCCGGGGCGCAGCGGCGGCGGCGGCGGCGCTGGCTCCGAGGGGCTGGGGGCGGCCACGGAGGAGGCGCGGGCGGCGGCTGGCCCGGCCCGGGGCGACGGCGGGCGTTGGCGGGCACCGGCTCCCGGCTGCCCCTCCCCGCCTGCCGGGCCGGCCCCTCCTGCGCGCCCGGGAGGGGCTGCGGGACAATGGCCGCGCCGTCGCCGCCCGCGCCCGCCTCGCCGCCCGGCCCGGCCCGGGGAAAGGCGGGAAGGCGCGCGGAGCCTCCTGGCGGCGGCGGCGGGAAGGCGACAGGGATGGCGCCGGGCGTGTCTGGAGCCGTCGGGCGCCGCGGACTCCGGAGGGGCTCGGGCTGCGCGGCGCGAAGACGGGCGGCCGCCGGGGGGGCGCGCGGGGAGGGCAGGGCCGGGGCCCGAGCTTCTGCGGGCGCGGCCGGGGGCGCTGCCGGGGAGCCTGGTTCCCAGGGCAGTAGCCCGAGTTTCTGGGTGCAGCCTCCATCCTTGGTTTTATGTCAAGATGCGACATCTGGGCTTAGAACCGAGGGCGGACTCACCGCGCCTAACGGATGTTCAGCTCCAACTATTTGCTTCTGGACGGAACCGTACATGCTCATCTCTATCCATGCGGACCGCCTCTTTTGTGAGTTAGTCAGCGGCTTGTTCCCTTCCCCTTCAGATGCGCTTATTTACCGCTGATTGTTCAGTGGCCCTACTTCACGTCATTCCAAGACGCGTTAGGAAGCGGTAGATTCACACCTGGCGGGCTTCTGACCACTACACGTCAGTATCACCTCTGTGCTTGATGAACCTTTATATTTGCAGAAATTTAAATGGAGTGCTTTCACCTATATGAATTATTTCACTTAATTTCATCTAAAACAACCATCTGGTCAGGCTGACAGTAATTCCACTTTGCAGATGAAGGAACACGTGTGAAGTGTGGGGTTTCCCCTCTAGGCCAGGGGTGACCATAGCCTCCCAGGGCCTCCTGTTCCCGCCCTGCCTTCCCTCCTAAGGCACCTCCAGAGGAGTCTTCAGACGGTCCAGTTGTACCACAGCGCTTCCCTGCTCTAAAAACTTAACTGATATTCTTCAGAAAAGCCTTAAAAATCCTCAGCAAGCTTCTGCTCCAGTCTTATCTCCTCCATGCCTCATATATGGATGCGTTTGTGGACTGGAGCAAGAGCCCCTCACTGATAAGCAGGGATCAGATGTCTTTATTACTGGGAACCTCTCTGGCCACACAAGTGGCAACTGGGAAGTGAGAATCTGGCTTGGGGCTCTTGGCGAAATGGGTGTCTGGGTGGATTGTCCTCTAAGATGTCAGCAGGAGGCATAATGAGTAGGAGACTCCAGGAAGGAGGCCAAGCCCCTAGACCTTATCTCATAGCCCTGAAATCACCAGCTTTGCTGTTGATAATGATTTGGGGCCAGCAAACACTTTGTAAGATATAGTAATATTGATTCATCCTATATCATTTAAATCTGATTTTTAGATAAAACAATTTCTAATAGGCTTAGTTAACTCAGTGACACAATGATATATTAATCATATTTAAAGGATTTGATGTGTTTGATTGCCTTGAATGAAGCTTTTGTCACTTTTCTGCTCAAAATTGGTCCGTGGCACCCGTTCTTATGCAGTTTAAAAGCCAAAAGCTGCGTAATAGTCTACTCAGCCTTACAGCACCTGGTCTCACCATGTCCTGCTCCTCTCATGATCTGCCTTACCCTTCTGACTCCATATCCCATTGCTTCCCCCCATGCCTCCTTGATGTTCTCCCAATGCCTCCTTGCCTGCTCACCTCAGGGCCCTTGCACTTGCTGTTCCCTTTGCCTGAAATACTCTTGTCCAAGACACCCACATGACTCTCTTACCTTTTGTACTTTATTCAAATGCCATCTTCTCAATGAGGCTTTCCCAACTATAGTTTTGATTCTCTTAAGTGTTTTTAATAATTATAAATCTTTTCTGTCTCAGGCCATTTGTGCAGCTATAAAAATACTTTGGGACTGGGTAATTATAAAGAACAGAAATTGATTTCGGACACTTCTGGAGGCTGGGAGGTCCGGCAGTTTGGTGTCTAGTGACAGCTGCACTTTGCTTCCAAGATGGCACGATGTTGCTGCATCCTCTGGATTGGAGGACTGCTGTGTCCTCGTGTGGCAGAAGGGATGGAATGGCAAAAGAGGGCAAACTTACTCCCTTAGGTCATTTTAGAAGGGCACTAATTCCATCCATGACGGCAGAGTCTTCCTGGCCAAAGCACCTCCTAAAGGTGTTACTGTTGCAATGGGGATGAAGTTTTAACATGAATTTTGGAGGGGACAGAAATGTTCAAACCACAGCACTTAAATCTTGACTTAGGATTTTTTGACTTCACAGTGGGTTTAATGGGGTATTAAATGGATTTTAAACTTATAATGTTTTCAACTTACAGTAGGTTTTTTGGGATGTAACACCATCATAAATTGAGGAGCATTTGTACTTAATTCTAAATATTCCCAACGCTAAAGGATCATTTATCCGTTAAAGAATACAATTACCACTCTAGTTAGCAGAAGTTCTTTATGACTCAGGGATGTTTGCTAAGCAGGCTAACAAGATTCGTTTTGCTGACCCTGATGGGACACATTAAATTTTAGATTAATGACTATATATCTTTAAAAAGTTGATTTTCTCGGCTGTGCATGGTGGCTCACACCTGTAATCCCAGCGCTTTGGGAGTCCAAGGCAGGTGGATCATGAGGTCAGGAGTTCCAGACCAGCCTAGACAAGATGGTGAAATACAAAATACAAATACAAAATTAAAATACAAAATTAGCCCAGTGCCATGGCGGGCACCTGTAATCCCAGCTACTTAGGAGGCTGAGGCAAGAGAATGGCTTGAACTCTGGAGGCGGACGGAGGTTGCAGTAAGCCAAGATCACGCCATGGCACTGCAGCCTCAGTGACAGCGAGACTCTGTCTCAAAAAAAAAAAAAGAAAAAAAAAAAAGTTGATCTACTCAACCACAACCTTAATTCACGTTACACTCGCTACCTAAATCTTCAGTCATAAGAAATACATGTCTTTTGCTTCTATTCCAAAGACCTTCGAACTTAATGGTTCCTAAAATGTGTAATTGTCTTTCCTAACCACCTTTTTAAAGATCATTGAACTTGATGGAAATCTTGAATTCTGTTATATTCTTGGGACTATTATAATATTTAACTCTTACGGATATTTAAAATGGTTCCATTTAGATTTTGGATGTCCCACATAAATTGATCTAACTTGCGATTTCAACATATAAAGTCACTCTACTGAAAGAAGAAAATCTGAAATGTATTACCCATTGTTATGACCTAATAATATAATTCTGAAAATAACTTAAATCTTTTTTGATGACTCAAGAATACTATGAATATAAGTTATATTAAAATCCTATTAATGTAAATATCAAGTTACAACTGACTCCAATGTATAGGACAATTTTTTTTTTTTTTTGAGTTATAACTTTTTTTGGGGGAGGGGGATGGAGTTTCATTCTTGTTGCCCAGGCTGGAGTGCAGTGGTGTGATCTGGGCTCACTGCAACCTCCACCTCCTGGGATCAAATGATTCTCCTGCCTCAGCCTCCCAAGTAGCTGGGATTACAGGTACCCACCACCATGCCCAGCTAATTATTTTTGTTTTTAGTAGAGACGGGGTTTCACCACGTTGGCCAGGATGGCCTCAATCTCTTGACCTTGTGATCCGCCCAATTCAGCTTCCCAAAGTGCTGGGATTACAGGCATGAGCCACTTTGCCTGGCCAGCATGAGGTTTTTAAGGTTCACCCACGTTGTAGTATGTACAGTCATATGTCACTTAATGATGGAAATACGTTCTGAGAAATGCATTGTTAGGTGATTTTTGTCATTGTGTAAACGTCATAGAATGTGCTTTTACAAACCTAGATGGTATAGCCTACTACACGACTAGGCTGTATGGTATAGCCTATAGCTTCTAGGCTAAAATGCTGTATAGCATGATACTGTAGGCTTTCATACCCAGGCTGGGTGCAGTGGCTCACGCCTGTAATCCCAGCGCTTTGGAAGCCAAGGTGGGCAGATCACGAGGTCAAGAGATAGTGACCATCCTGGCCAACATGGTGAAACCCCGTCTCTACTAAAAATACAAAAATTAGGGCCGGGCGCGGTGGCTCAAGCTTGTAATCCCAGCACTTCAGGAGGCCAAGGCGGGTGGATCACAAGGTCAAGAGATCGAGACCATCCTGGTCAACATGGTGCAACCCCGTCTCTACTAAAAATACAAAAAATTAGCTGGGCATGGTGGTGCGTGCCTGTAATCCCAGCTACTCAGGAGGCTGAGGCAGGAGAATTACCTGAACCCAAGAGGTGGAGGTTGTGGTGAGCCGAGATCGCCCCATTGCACTCCAGCCTGGGTAACAAGAGCAAAACTCCATCTCAAAAAGAAACACAAAAAAACAAAAATTAGCTGGGCATGGTGGTGTGCACTTGTAGTCCCGGCTATCTGGGAGGCTGAGGCAGGAGAATTGCTTGAACCAGGGAGGTGAAGGTTGCAGTGAGCTGAGATTATGCTACTGCACTCCAGCCTAGGGCATAGAGCAAGAATCTGTTTCCAAAAATAAAAACACAGGAAAGCTACAATAAAAATATGGTATTATAATCTTATGGGACCACTGTCATATATGTGATCAGGTTGACCAAAACGTTACACGGCACATGACCATATCAATACTCATTCTTTTATGGCCAAGTTACATTCCATTGTATAGGTATACAGA